GCCGTGTCCTTTCTGGCAGCCCCGAGCCGATCTTGAGAAGCTCAGCCTGCTCAGGTTCGGAAGGGAGAGCGCCAGGCTAAATTGGGAAAACGGAGACAAAAATCCGAAGAGGGCCGGGGCGGCCCACTTCTGCCTTTGGGGCAGGGCTGCGTGCCTGCAATGCCTCGGAGCCCAGCTCCGCTTGAGAGCATCTTCCTGCCTTAACGCTGAGCGAGTCTTCTGTTCCTCCGCTTCAGCCGGAGTTACTTAGTGCAAGTTGGGTGGGAGAAGGCACGCGGGCACAGGATCGAAGTTAGACGGAATTGCCCATCATTAACTCCGAATAGATTGGTGTTAACGTTTAAGAAAAGCTTCGGGAAGCAAGTATCCTTGCAGGCACGGCAGTGATGAATTTTTTCTACGGTTTCTTTGCTTCAGAACTCATAACTGATTCTACCGTCTCTTCCCCATCCCAAACCCAGTGCCCAGTTGTAAACTGTATTTGAGGTGTGGAACCTGAGATAACACAAAGGTATTGAAGACCGTTGGAACAGAATGAGTGTATCTGTGATTTCCATCCTAACCCTGGTATATTTTCACAGAGGCAGGTCCCATGAAGTTCGCTGGGATTTACTCCTAGGTAAATATGCATGAGAGGATTGCCGTGATGCTTTTGGAGAAAAGATTGATAGCGAGGAAGAACTTCCTCTTTCTCAACTTTCTTATCAGATGCCCCCTTTCCCCCCCTTTGGGCATTCTGTTTGCTAGAACATTCTTCCTCTTTTTGCAGTTTTAACAAGGTTTAAAATATTGGACACTCGGCTGAATGAAATCAAAAAGAACACATTGTCCATGGTTGATTTCCCCTGGTCAGATGAATCAGAACGTTAGGATTCATGCTCTTAATGTCGGTTTTCCCCAACCGGATTTGACGCTGGCTATGGAAGGTAGTCCAAACATCTGCAGAACATCTGGTCAGGGAAGGCGGCTTTTAGTGTTTAGCCATCTTTGTTTTATTTATTGATTTATAGGACATACCCAGCCACCTACCTCATATAATGATCCTAGGCAGCTCACAACGAGCAATAAAAACAGGGGTTAAAACAGAGAGCCAGTTTGGTCTAGTGGTGAAGGCACCAGGCCAGAAATCAGGAGATGGTGAGTTCTAGGCCCAGCTGAGGTATGAAAGCTGGCTGGGGTGACCTTGGGGCCACTCTCTCTCAGCCCAACTCACCTC